GATGAGGCCCTACAGTTGGAGGATACAACCAAGTGGGAGCAAGTCATGGATGATGGGACATCTAGGCTTCAAAAATGCGTTGTACTGAGGCTGAGTACGTGGCAATAGCTAAAGCTGAAAAGAAGACAATATGAATGACTGACTATCTGGAAGAATTGGGCAAGAAGTAGCATGAAAAGATTCTTTATAGAGATAGTCAGAGTGTCATACAGTTGGTGAAGGAACCCGGTCTATCATTTAAAAAGAAAACACAGAAGACGATACTATTTCACTTACAGGTTAGTGAAAGATGGTGATGTGTTTAGAGAAGATAGAGGGTGCAAAGAATCCAATAAACATGTTGACTGTGTTGACGTTAGAATATTGAGGCTGTGCAAAGCCTCAATTGGTTTGGTGCCATGAAGATGCTCATGGTCGTTTGAGAATGAAATTCTTAGTTGACTAGATTAGTATCCAAGTGGGAGAATGGAAAGCTTATGGAGCCTGCTGCTTATTTATAGCTTAGTCAACGATTATACCCTAAATTGGGTAGATGATATAAAGTAAAATGTCATAAATAGTAAATAGCTATGTATAGTAAAAAGCTATATATATATATATGATAAAGCTATATAGGGTAGATAGTTATATTTGGTAAAGGTATATATATATAGTAAGCTAAATCATATATATATCCACTCAGACAGCCTTGAAAATGTACTTTCAATATTTTCGGTACTCTCATACTTTACCTCCTTGTACTCATCAATATAAATCCTTTAGCCAAAGTTCTCCTTGCATTTTCTCTATCCTGTTCTTTGTGTTCATCTAGATCGAGTGTATGCATTGTTGTGCGATCCTAATAGTTAACACCTATAACAACAAATCCATGAGATTCTAAAAACCGAAACTCATATCTTGTTTTCGATGAAAATGAACGTTGATAAGACGCGAAACGTACCTCTTGTGTACGTGCTGAGATTCTAAAAACCGAAACTCATATCTTGTTTTCGATGAAAATGAACGTTAATAAGACATGAAACGTACCTCTTGTGTACGTGCAGTTGTCGACAATGTCTTTCATGGCATAGGTGGTCGTTCTAGGTGTCGGGTGCGTCAGTTTAGTCTCGCCGAAAAATGTTTTCAAAATCCCTCTCTACCTCGTGTTTTCCCTCTTTATTCTCTGTTGTAGATGTTCGTGGGGAGTCTGGCTAAACGTTATGTTGTCAAGAGAGTCGTGGGGCGTGCGTTTGCTTCTTCAGAGCGTTGCCCGAGAACGGCTCATTTTGAAATTTAACAATGGGGTCATCCTCTCATTGGCATTTAACAATGGAGTCATACCCTCTCACTAACTCAAGAAAGATTTGGTTTATGTTAGGACTATAGAAATGAGTTAAAGCTGATTAATTCAAAAGTATAATTAATTAATTTAGTATTATTTTGAACTTTTGGTAGATTAATAACCTATGAGAATCCATTTAGTTGAAATGAAAATTTTAAATATTTGAGAAAATATATTTAATTTAAAAAGCTCATTTAATATGTAGAATACAAAGAAAAAAATATATATTTAATTTGAAGTATGAAACTAATATTTAATAAATTAGATACAAATTAGATAGAAATAGAGGAAAAATATATTTAATTTGAAATAGGTTAATATTAAATATAATATATATTTATTGTATTTGATATATTAAATTTAAGTAAAAATCATATTCAAATTAATTAAATATATATTAAAATATATTATGAGATTGGAATATAATTGTAACGACCCATATCTACAGCTGGCAGATATTATTCTCTTTGGACTTTTCCTTTCGGGCTCCTCTCAAGGCTTTAAAACGCGTCTATTAAGGAAAAGTTTCCATACCCTTGTAAAGGGTGGTTTGTTCTCCTCCCCCTTTAATCGATGTGAGACCACCACCAAATCCACCGGTCCAGCATCCTTACTGGCACATCGCCTCATATCTACCCCCTTCGAGAAACAGTGAGAATGTTAGCACATCGTCGAGTGTTTAGCCCTGATACCATTGGTTGGGAGGAGAACAAACCACCCTTTATATGTGGAAACTTTTTTCTAGCAGACGGGTTTTAAAGCCTCGAGGGGAAGCCGAAAGGGAAAGCCCAAAGAGGACAATATCGGGTAGTGGTGGATTTGGGTTCGTTACCATAATTTAAATAAAATATTATATGGTATTAAATATTCAAATTTATTATTCGGTAAAAATTATATGCATTAAAAATTTAAATTTATTATTTGATAAAACTTGTAAATAGGATTTTTTTTTTTTAAATCCAAATGGATTTCAACAGTTTCACTAAATGAAACATCCAACTCTTAAATGGTTCCTTTTTCATTGGTCTTTGGTTCCTACCAACTGTTTGGGATACTCTCACTAAATTAGAGGCTCGATCTAATCCTTCAAATTGAAGCACTTTATCATGTTGGGACCAAGGTAGGACCTCTCGATCTCTATCTAGATAAGATTTTAATGGATAGGAGCGTTAATCGAAGTATACCTCTAGAATTGTTTGAACTGCCCTCGTTATTTAATAGTGAAGAGGTGGGTGGACAGCGAGTCATGATTGCCAATGAGCTTGTCAATAAAGGCATGCACAAGATCCTAAAACAAGCCAAAGACACCCTTGCTCTTGCTTGCGATACCATGTTCTAGCTGCCCAGTAGGTAGACATGGAAGGCTCCACATTATATCACCTCAAGTATGTCATGCTATCGTGGGAATTCACAGTCAAGTTGTAGGTCATGACATGCTCGATTTTATTCATGCTGCCGTCGTATTCTTCGATCTCTCTGAGCTTGAACTTCTAATTTAACCTAACAAATAAAAGTAAATTTTTTTATTTATTTGGAAGTTACTAAACTCATCGGTTCTTTTGGATAAGATTTGTATAAGCGTAAAAAAATTAGGCGAAAGACTATTAAACCATCTCTTGCCTAAAAGAGTAACTCATCACATATGAAAACAAGATAATCTTAAGATTCTCCTAATTAACTAGAAAATGAGAGGTTTTAAACACCTTGTTTTCTAATCCGTCAATCTCAATGTGTTTGATTAAGCAAGGGGTTCAATTTCTAATCTTGCTGACTATCACAAAAGTTAATGCTATTAAGACTTTTACATTAGATGAGGACATTTTGTCCTACTAAATAATAATNTGTGACCCTCGATCAAAATTATGTCGAAACAAGTAAAAGAGGCAAAGGAACACCTTGAGGGGCTCTATCTTTTGAAGCGAAGAAAGCTTAAGCACTTAGCTTTAAAATTCTATTTATTAGGGTGAAAAATCGTACATCTTAAGGAGTATTTACCGTAGAGGAAACACTAACTATGTTCTTAAACTTTTTCCTCACACTAAGAACTAGTAACGATCTTCCTAACTAAAGCATAAAACTTGGTCACCAACCACAAAATTTATTGGAAAGATGGTTGAAAACTATTACACTTTGTTGAATCAAATTAAGTAGAAAATGATATTAAAATCTAAAAAAATAGAAAAATCACACCAAAAAAAAAAAAAAAAAAAAAAAAAAAAAAAAAATTGAATATACAAATTTTTTTAATAGCGGAGTAAATCATATTTTCGTCCTCCCAACCCTTTCAAACTAACATTAGGAAAAGAATGTAACATGACATAATATAAGAAGAGAATTATACGCTAACTAGAAAGTCAGCCAAATTTTTTTAATGTCATGTCAAAATTTAAATCACTTTCCAAGTAGAATTAATTATTAAAAAAACGATTTATGGTGAGGCACCAATAAACCCGCAACGGAACGACTCCCTCACGATTTCTTCAAATACTTTCACTAATTTACAAATTTGATTCTAATTCGAGTATGCATGATGTAACATAGGAGTATTTGTGGGTTGTGACGAGTCGACATATTTTGAGACCAACTCAATTGTTTTAATTTTTTCAAATACGGAGATTAAATAGTGGAAAAAAGAAATAAAAAAAATTGTGTTGATCCATTTTGTATAGGAAGAAATATAATTGACAAAAGTTGACTGAATTTTGTCCACAAAAATGAAGAGAATCAAAGTCAAAGCTAATCGAGCCTAACAAATTCCTAGAAATTTCCAAACATTTGGATTTATTATTATTATTATTATTAGTGTGGGTTTCCTATTTTGTGACATTATTTTAATTTGCCATATTCATCAATTTATTTGCGCCCTCAACGGCGATATTTGGAGCATAAACTAAGTTTACCCCACCCCTACACATCATCACTTCCACACATTTAGTGGTATTTGCATCATTAGTTTACGTCATCAAAAACTTTTTGCTTCAGTTTTTTAATTACGGAAATTATTTTCTAAGTTTCTCTATTTTTTAGTTATATAATTATTAATTCTATTTCTCTTCTTAACATATTAGGTATGTGATTAATATCATTGATAAATATTTGATGTTTAAAATTTATAATATAAATATAATTTTTAAATAATTAATAAAAATAGTTTAACAACCCAAATTAGCTAGAAAATAGAGTGAGATTAGGTCTAAATCGATTTAAAATTTAAAATTAGTTAAAACATTTTTCGAATTCAAAGCTAACTTTAGATTAGTGTAAAAGAATAGAGAAGAAAAGTAGTAATAAGACGGCGGTGCATAGAGGCGATGGTCAAAGGAAAGCGGTTGTTATAAGCGGCGAGTGGCGTTTCCGTATGGACGTGTGTCTTGCATTTGGGTCCCACGCGCATTTACAGCTTACGCGCTCTTCATTTACCACGTGCTCCCCTTCCCTCACACGTATTCTCTTCCATTCCACTTTATGTGCTAACTAATACTATTTTTAAATTATTATTATTTTTTTTTATTTTTAAATTTGTAACATAATATATAATATAATGAAATAAATAAGGATGAAAATGGAAAGTTTGAAATACATTACCAAAATGGAGAAAAGAGAGTGCGGTTAAAAGTAAAAATTAAAAAAAAAATGAGAATTTACGGCTGCCGTTACTATATATTAACCCCATTTCTGTCTCTTCTTCTCCCAAACCCTCGATTCTTTTTCTCTCTGTTTTTGTTTCTTTCTCTGCAACTCTCCAACCATCTCCCATGGGGAATTATATTTCTTGCTCCTTGGCCACGCCGTTGATCAAGAATTTCAAGGCGGTTAGGGTCGTGCTTCCAGGCGGCGAGGTCCGTCAGTTCCGGGAGTCGGTGAACGCGGCGGAGCTAATGCTCGAATGTCCTACTTACTTTCTCGCCAACGCTCAGTCTCTCCACATCGGCCGCAGATTCTCCGCACTCGCTGCCGACGAGGAATTGGAGTTTGGTAATGTTTATCTCATGTTTCCGATGAAGAGAGTTAACTCCGTTGTCACGGCGGCGGATTTAGCCACCTTCTTCATGGCGGCCAACTCTGCGGCCAGGCGGATTTCGGCCGCTAAGGTTAGGGTTATACATGATAATCGGAATCGAGAATCAGGTGAATCGGAAGCGGAATCGAGGCCGAGAATTAGCGATGAAAATAACGGACCGAGATTGAGCTTGGAAGGAATCGAGGGATTTCCGATGCATCGATTGTCAGTTTGCCGGTCCAGGAAGCCATTGTTGGAGACGATTAAAGAAGAGCATATTAGGGGAAGATAGGAAGATTTCAATACATTAATTAGGAATCTGTATGGGTAGTACAACTTCGATTTTTTGATCGGATCTCGAATTTTGAAGAACACGATTTCGGTGGGCGGATTGAAAAGTCCGTTCATCTGGAATTTCATTGGGCGCGCCTGGTTTCATCAGACGGAGTCCAACCACAAGTTGTTCGGAGGATGGAAACGGCGTCGTACTTGTGCTACCCTTTCCATTCTTATTTTTTAACCTGAAATTGAAATAAAGTTTTTTGACAGTAAATTACCAGTTTACTGTGGTTGTGAAAAAATAATGATCTATTTTTATAATAATTATGTGTGGAGATAAATATTTTGAGATTATTTTATTTATATAGCATTATGTATATTTTCTTAGACATACATTTTATGTGACTAAAGAAATAAAAAAAAAAATAGTTAAATGGGTAATTATAACAAAATGTTAGAAACTGATTATATTAATATCAAGTGGAGGAGTAACTATCGTTTTTTATTTAAAAAAATGTAACTAGTGCATTTTATTAATGCGTATTAATTAACAAGTAAATAAATAATTATTTTTTAAAAAAAATTTAAAAATAGAAAAATAAAGAAGGTATTATATCCTGAAGTTCCTAAAGGAACCTCAGGAACCTTGCGACAAGTCGGTCCTAGGATCATATGGGTTTATAACAAGTCGGTTCTAGGATCATATCGGTTTTATATGGGTGGGTGATCATATGGGTTTATAACAAGTCGGTTCTAGGATCATATGGGTTTATAATTGATCATATATGGGTGGGTTTTATATGGGTTTATAATTGATCCTATGGTCCTGGGATCATATGGGTTTATATGGATTTATAATTGATCATAAGCTAATTTGAAATGATCCAGGTTTATAGTTAATTTAGAGAATGATCTTTAGAAATATTGGATTTAAGGAATACTATCTCCATAAGACATTGGAATGAGGTCTTTGACCAAGTCTAGGCTCAAAATAAAGCAATGACGGCGCATAGACTTGAGTCAAATCGATTCTGATTCTTCCAATCTTTCATTATTTAGTTGATTTTTCTCAAAAGCAAAACAAATGGATTCTGATTCTTCCAATCTTTCATTATTTAGTTGATTTTTCTCAAAAACAAAACTTAGAAAAAGCTTTCAACGGCTTTCTTGGCACTGCCATTAAAAAGTTAGAATTGATTATTCATTACTATAATTGGATGTGAAAGACATCTAGAGTTCAATTGTTCTTTACTATTTATTATCCATTTTTTTCTATATATTAATGTTCTTTACTCTTTATTATCCATTTTTTCTATAAATGATAGTATACTCCTAATATAGCTATCAAAATGAAAAGAAAAATTATTGGATTAGAAATAAAATATATATATATATATATATATAAAATGTTATTTTGTAAAAAAAAAAATGAATTGTTTAATTTTATTCGATTGTGGAGAATCTTATTCGATTAGAAACAAAGAAGTCTTATTTTACATACCATTGTAGAGAGTCGTGTTTGTCTAACAATTGAGAAATAATATCGTATCCAAGTTGATTAGTTTAGGTATGAGAGCGCTCCAGTCATAAGAGACTCTCCGTGCACCCTCAATAATAATGTCGTAAGTATGAGAGCGCTCCTCTCATACTTACGACATTATTATTGAGGGTGCACGGAGAGTCTCTTATGACTGGCTCACCTATCTATATATCTTAGTTAGCCATGTTGGGAGTATTAAAAGTGTATGTTTTAAAATTTTATTTAGATTAAAGGCAGTCAATACATTGCCAATTCTATCTCTCAATTTCGAATATTTTCTAGAAGCCCCCGCAAAAGTGAATCGACACCTATGACCAAACTTGTAAACTTGTCTCTTTGACTTGGCTCAATTTCGATAGTCTTCTTTTACAAATTTTTTTAAAAGGAAAATAGTTCAAAGGATTACTTCAAGCATGAACACGACCAATGGACCCACGGACCTACTTGTAAGATAAATTTATTTATCTATTAACTAAGATGTTAGAAGCTGGAACAGTAAGAGATTTATATATACATATTATGTGCATATATCATTCATTCATTTCTTTTCTGTACAAAGAATTTCTAACACAAACCAATCCTTTAATAAACTAAACTGCATAACAACTTCAAACATCTATACCCATCTATACACAAAGCAAAGGCTACTGCCATGTATCCCCCCGTACCAACACCATTCTTCAGCTCGCAATCCAATTTCTCGGACCTTCTGCTGCTATGAAACTGACCGAACGCGGATAATGTAAGGCTGAGGTTGGGACGATACGGATGTCGAACTCCTAACTATGCTGGTTGAATGAATGGATGAACTAGAAGATGTAGCCAGCTGATCATAGTCATCCAAACACAAGAAACCATTAATACAATAGAGTTATCACTGAGAGGATGGCATGTAGATGTCTGCTAATTGTATACGAACGCTTACGAGAAGTCGACGGCGATGAACTGCAGAGACTACTTTGAACATAACGTATATTGGTAGAAAGATCAGTAAACTTCGCAGGCAAATCGACTGTCATGGAAAGGGAATAATTTAACTTCATGCACAAATCTTGGTTTTGCATTTGTTTGAAAATAGAGATTTCTCACCAGAAGCAGAGGGAAAGAGTAACCACCGCTTTCATTGAATATGAGGGGAAGAGAGTGCCTCAAAACCAGAAGAACCATGAACTACAAAGAAAAACAGAAACATGTGGTTCAGATTTTGATATTCCCCTAACACGAACTTAAACACGCGTTATTTCGAAAACATCCTATGATCACATTACAAAAATTGTGAGTTTGGAAAGACCTTCATGTGTCAAGGGAGAAACAAAACTTACAACAATAGCAAATGAATGGCAGCATAGCACGCTGGTTGCAGCAGAAGCTGAGAACTCATCATAGTCGGTATCAACAACATTACGGTTTGAAGAAACCATTGCTATATAGCTGGAACTATCCAAGTTCCTTCTAGAAATCTCCCAGTTCCCCCTGCAATGGAATAGGGGTCAATCATTCTCAAGTTGAAGCAGAAAGAACATACATTGTAACCTGGTTTGAATTGCTGCAAATCATAGTTACACGGTTCAGTTTCATTGTACAAACTGCATTAATCATACTGATCTTCTCGGGCCGAAAAAGACAATCGTGCTAGAGATTGTAATCTTACGTCAATGAACTGCTTCAATTTGTTTTACTATTATGATTTTAAGGAGGAAAGAAATAAAAAACACCATACTCCACCTGGCGGCATATCTCACAAATTGTATCACCCTTTTCGTTACACCACTTCTGTATGCATCTTCGATGTGCATACTGCAAAATTCAACGGAACATGTCAAGAAAACTTGCATTATCATATCAGAAGCGCTGGCATACTAAATGATAAAACTCTCGAGGCACTACACGTTGAAAGGAGAAATATAATTGATACAGAAATCAAGAGCAGCTCAGTTTGACAACATGGGTTGTGTTTGAGATGTGAACTGCATTAGAATGACAACTACGGCAGATATCAATGTGCTAGCTTTCCAAAAGTGCAAAGGAGTTTATCACTAGGCTCCATATTTGTAATAAAATGCTAGACAAGAACAAGATCAGCTATACTTGGCATGCAATGACTTAATATGGAAATTTGGCCAATTTAATTCAATGAGTTCATCAACAAACCTTAAGGCTGCCACAGCACGAGCAAGGTGTTTCCATGTTCGAGTCTTCATCTTCATCCTGGCATATTCTACATTCCACAATTTTCTTTGGAAATGGTATATTGTCAAACACCATTTCTGGGCAAGAACTGTCCCCCTTCAAACCATCCATGGCAGAGGACGTTGCTTCAGTCAATCGCTTTCGGCTCTCAATCGCTGCTTCTAATGTCGTCTCCGTCAACAATCGATCAACCAGCAAAACAAAGTGATCCCCCATATCAGGAAAAAGAGATTTTACAATCTTTAAACTGACCAAATAGCATATAGATACAAGAAATCAAGGCTTAGTTGTTTCCAGTGAATGGGTTTATGTTGTAGATTACAAGTGTAAAGATTAAATAAGATGTGGAGGCAATGAAAAAAGTAGATAAATGAGAGTACCGGCTACAACAAACAAAGACTACAGGGGATACCCATGTCGTTGATAGAGGTATATGTTAGTTGAAAACCCCACCATCCACCAATAACCTTCCTAACAGAAACCCAGGAAAGAAACATAGGCAAAACTTTAGAACAAGAAAAGGGTTGAATGGAAGAAAGAAGATAAGGGAAAAAAGAAAAACACCCAAAACAGAAAAGGTAAGAAGAAACACAAAAGAATCAAAAACAGGAAACAGGAATATAACAAAAGGGAAACCAATAAAGAAAGGAAAGAAAAGAGGAAGAAACTTACAAGGAGGGGATGGAATCTTGTTGAAGCAAAGAAAGCTGGTGACCCCTGTTTTCCCCCTCCGATGTTTCTGAAGGAAATTAGCCGAAGATTTCGGGAAGAAGGTAAATTGGGTGGGTGTGACACATGGATGAATGTATTCCAAGCTTTGTGGCATCGAGAGAAGAAGAAAATGAAGCTATGAAAATGGGTTTGTGGCCATGTTTCTCAGCTTGTCATTTCCTCAAACACTTCGCGTGCGTGCGTTATATTGCTAGAAATTTTCGCATATAAGTTAAGCGGCAAAACTTAGAGAGAGGAAGAGGGGCCGCCATGATTGTTGTTCTCTCTCTCCTTTTCACCTCACCGTTTTGCGGTTTTAAGCTGCATCATTGCATGAGGTCATCAATGGGTTTAAATAATGGGCCTTACAAAACATCAATAAACCACCATTTCAATTTGGGATGCCTTGTTTATAATGAGTATAACACATTTCAACGTGGTCGATCTCAAGAATTTTTGTTCCCACGCTAGCTTTAAAGTGAAGCAGTTTGGATTTTTCGCTCATTTTTTCTTGTATTTTTTTTTCCATACAAAGGTAGAAAATGATTAAATACCATAAAAAAAAAATTTAGACCATATTGTAAAAAGTTGTATATACAAAGGAACAATTTTGTCTGCGTATATATTTATGACGCTTTCCGAGTGGAGTATAGGAATGAATTTAGACTGAATCCGAATAATAGTGATTTGGAGGGTTAAGAAATATTTTAAATAATTGAGAGTTATTGCTTATACCAATAAAATGTACTTTTTTTGGGTGGCTCAATAAAACGAACTCCAAAATTAAGTATGCTTGGGTTAAAGACTATCACTATGTGCCATAGAATGCTAGTTACGGTTTCCATAGATTATGAGTTAATGTCTTTGCGTATTTTGGTCCTAGTACCTAGTTATGAGCTCCATAGCTTCTTTG